CTTTTGAATTTAGATTGCAGAAAACCATCCTTCAAGAAATGTAGGTTTCCTTGTCCACATCATATTCTGGATTTCATGGCACCCATGAGGCAAAAGCAGCTCTATCTCATGGTATGGTTCTACAGCCCCATACTCCTCATCAGCTGAAGCAAATAGAGAAGATCATTACTATCTGATAACTTCCAAGACTGAGATGCAAATTGAGAACAATGGGGTAGATTTGCAGATTAACAAATGGAAGATCTCACCTGAAAATGGCATGAAGATGTTGCTATCTTTTTGATTTGCCTTTGGTGTAAAGCAATCAGAGTTTTCATTTTATCTTAATATGTACAGATTTTGTGCCTTTACTTGTAAAAGCTGAAGTGCTTTCCACAACAGATGTAACTCTGATTTTGAGCCAGATTTCAACACAAGTGAGGTTTGTCTCTGGGCAATTAAAATCTTCAATTAACATATTAATTATTTTTCTAATGATATTGCATTATTTTTCTTTTCGTCTTCTGGAGGGAAAATAAAGTGTCTAATTTGTATACTGGTTTGTGAGTTATTTAGCTAATTTACACGTGAGAATTTGTTAGTATTTATCTTGCAGTCTCAAAACTGTGGATTTATTTTAAGGAATTTTATATATTTCCTGCTCTAGTGAGGTGTATTAAAATAGTAGCTTCAGCTGGCAGTTGCAATTACCAAACCTGAAAAATGCAAGAGTTTCTTTTACATGTTTTTATTTGTTGAGATAGAAGGAACAAACACTTCTAGCATAAATAACTGATACTACCTCTCTTTCTCTGATCTTTGTAAAAACTGAAAAACCTTTCGAATATCAATCTGTAGAGGTTAAAAAAAAATAATTCTCATCTCTTCAATGTTGTTCCAATCCCTTCAATGCAAAACAGTGCTTAAACCGTGCAGCAGACAGCTGTTAATTAGCAGCATATTGAGGCTGATGCTGGCAGGGATGATTGAGGAAGGGAAGCAACAGAGGAACAGAAAAGTATACGTGCAGGACAAACATACCTGCTTTTCTGTTATTGTTAGCAGAATTTTTTAGGGACAGAAAAGCATGTTCTGTGTTCTGTTAGCATGTCTGTGTGTGGTGCTCCATCTCTGTCTAAAGTGGCTCAGTAGTTTGGGCAGATGTCTCTTCTCAGATGCTAGATCAGCCCCTATGCAGGTGGTGTCATACTGAGCACAAGTCTCTAGAAGCAAACTGTTGACCATTGAATGAAATACTTTTTCAGGATTGAATAGGTTTTACTGCACAGACTGAGCTGTTACTAACCTGTACTACATGTTGTGGCTGGAGATCTGTTGGGCTCATTACTGTACAAATTACTGTATAAATTACCCCAAGGCACTGAACAGTTCATGGGTGAAGAGCAAGCAATACAGAAAGCTTGGACTGCAGCAGGAGACAAGGGTACAGCAGAAATGTAATCATGCACACGTAGATGTGTGCACATGTATGTAGAGGTGTAAAACAGGCATTGATTTTAGCTGTTTGCATTCCAACTCTATTGTTATTGGGGTTTTCTTTGCAAAAAGTGTTCTTGAGTAAGGAATCCGAAGCAAGACAGCAGGCACCAGCAGGATATGAGTCTGAAGATTGCTTCAGGCAGGGCATGGCATACATAAAGATTATGTTAATGTACTTGTATGATAAGTAGAAAAAGCCAGAAGGTACTTGGAGACTCCATAAGGGGCAGGATGGAGGGGTCGAGCATCAGCTGCAGAGACTTGCAATGGCTTCTGTAGGGAGGGGGACAAACCTGAAAGAAATGAAAAGTGGACGGGGAGAAGGGGAAGAAGGAATAATAGCAGAAATGAAGAAGATACATGAGAAAGCTGAAGGGAGAGGGATTGAGGCACAGCTGGGCTTGTCAGGGCTGAATAGCAAACGAGAAACCTTAATGTTAAATGATGGGTGATGAAAGAGAAGGTGTTAGGCAAGGTGAGAGAGATAAAAAGAGAAATCAGGGAGGTAGTAAACGTCAATTGAATCAACTTCAATTTGCTTCATTTTCAGAAGGAGAATTAGGTTAAGAAATCTCCACTGCTCAGTGGACTCTTCTCCCTATTTTTCACTTTTCTCCTGGATCGTGCTGATCTCATACAGAGGTCTTAAAAGAAACTACTCATCCTCTATACAGGGCTAATTTTGTTGGAAAACTGTTGTTCCCAGACAGAAAATCAATGCATACACAGGCTGTGAGTAGTCTTGACACAAACAGCATAACCCCTGTATTCTTTAGTCTGTTCCTTTCACCTCTTTATTACACAGATTCTAAACATAAAACTAGTTGGTTTTGTGGCCCTTGAGATGATATGTTTGCATATGCATTTATTGAAATAGAATATTTTATTGAAATAAAATATTTGCTGTTTAGACTTCTATTGCAATACTAACTGGCAGACCCAGTCATGGACTGAGAAGAGGACAAATGCTGTAGAGCGCCATGTGAAACCTGAACAAAAGTGCCAAGGAACATGTCATCTAGATGTAAGAGTTCATAAGTGACAAGAGACAGCCAACAAAGAAATCCAGAAAACAGTGTTCATCAGAGCACTGATAGTCTTTCTGATCACAGGCTCTCCAATTTACCTGAAGTGCACTTCAACAATAATTACCTTTCTGAAGCACATCATTTAGCATAAATGTACCCCTGAATAAATCTATAAACCTTTCCTATGTATTGGTATTAAAGTTTGAATGCATACAGGCCCATGTGCCACCTGTCCTGGAGCAGAGAGTGAATACCCTGCAGGTGGCAGAGCCCTGGCCACAGTGTGGCACTGGAGCTTTGCTGCCCTGTTGGGTGTTCCTGTGTGGATGATGGCAGCTGGGCCTTCTGGCAGGCTTGCTATAAACCCTGAGCGACGTCGTTCTTTCTGGATTAAACATGTGAAGGGATCACAACACATTTTATCTCTGTGCAAAAGATGCTTTCTGTGACTCAGTATAGGTTTTGCAGGATGTGTGAGCCAGGCAGTTTAGGTAGGTAGTATTTCAGTTTATTTTTGCTTCCCATTCATTAGCTAAGTGACTTGAAGTCTGTAATGCTGAGATGCTTTGAGGAAGGAGGAGTGAGAAAATTTATTGCAATAAATTTTGAGGTTGTGTTGTCTGCTGCAGCCGTGCTCGGCACAGCAGGAGGCAGGCCCGGTGCAAGTCTGGGAGCTCTTCCTCCCTCCAGAGTGATCATGCAGCATCCCTGGTCTGCATAACCTGCTGTTGTGGTGTGGATACTTTTGAAGGTAGGAGTGGGGCTGTGGGTTTTTCATATTGCCTGTGAAGTATGAAACTTCCTCTCTACGAAAGCTGCATTAGAACTGGCTTTGAAAGAAACCTGTGCTTTTATCCCAAATCACTAACAGTAGAGACATAAAGGAATGTCTCTACTGTACATGGTATAATGTAGTATATTACTTTTTGTGATGTGAGAAACTATTAAGTCTGAAACCAGGTTCTGTGAGGCTGTAGAAAATTCATGGTGACTGTAGTTGTGAGAAGTGGATTTACAGTTCAGCTATTTGGAAGAGTTTTTGTTGTGTGCACTCCTAACAGACAGCTGAAAAAAGTATGCATGTGGATTAACTTCTCTGAGATTGCCTTTAAAGATAATGTGGCTCCTTGCCCAACTTTCGGATCACCCTGCTTTATTTCCAGTGTAAATTTGCTTTTTCAATAAAAGCAAAGGGCCACCAGACTATAGGCAGTTGGTAAATTTGGGACTAAAACAGATTATGTCCATGAGATTTAGTGTCTTGTGCAACACAGGAGATAACAAAGCAATGTGTACTTTTACTTTGTTTAATTTCATGGCTATTACATGTTTTGAAAGCCTTTTAATATCGGAGGAGTATGATCAAATGGTATTGTTTTGTTTTATAAACCTTTTTTTTCAGCTGAACATTTCTGAACAGTAGAGTATCTTCCTAAATCCACTACCTCGCCCAACTCTCTTGCGGTCTCTTTTTTGGTTTTTGTGCTTGTGTTGAGTTGGCTATTTTAGTAGCGTTGTTTTAAGGCTTTATTTTTTTTCCCTTGCCTTCTCAGCTGTCATTGAGTGCACATCAGAAACTGATGGTGGGGATGAATGTTAAGGTGGGCCAACAGTCTCCAGGTGTTGAACTGTCTTGTTGCTGAGGTGCTTTCCCTGCTAGTGCTGTGGAGAAGCTGTAAAGTGTCAGCGTGCCCTGATCACAAAAGAGAGCTGAAATACAGACATCATAAGTCTTGCTGTTGTGTCTGAGTTGTGGATGTCTTTCACTTTTTAAATTATAATTTAAAGTTTTATTATTGCATGTTTGGAGAGCCTTCTGCCCTTGCTAATTAGGCCTCCTTTATTCAGATTTAAGTTTCTCTTTGTTTCCTTGTTTTTCTCTGTGTAGTTTTGCATCATGTGGATACTTTAATACTGGTTGAGGTTGAATAGAGAAGCAGAATCTTGTTCACCGTATTTTGCAGTCTGATCTTTGACTATTCAGACTATGTTGGATACCTGGTCAGCTCCAGGATGGTACACTGAAATTTACTTCATTTGTGACTGGTCCCCTCAATATCTAAGCTTGTCAATAAATTGGTGGGAAGAGAAAATGCTACTTGGCTGGCACCCATCTAAGCTCAGTCAGTGTGAGGATTTTGCAATGAAGCTGAAGATCCATTGATGGTGTCTTGTCTTTCAGTTTCTTCCTAAGTTAAACGGATATTATGCTTAATCTTATACAGCCTGAAAAGTTTATTGTACTTAACACCATTCTTACTTTTTTAAACACATGTATTTCAGCACTGAAGTGTAGGACAGCTTCCAGCTCTACTGGAAAGTAGTGTAGTACACTGTTAACACGGTAAGATGTACTCAGAACTGAACAGTGGAACAAATCAATTAATAAAATGTCATCAAAACAGACAGGCTTTGGTGGAAAAAACAATATTTTTAAATGTCGCTTATGTTGGTTATGGGATACATGCTGAGTTAACCTCATTGAACTTTTCCCCAGGAATTGATGCGCTTACAATTGGCGGGTCATTATGCTGCTCCACCTGTGTAGTGTTAAGGTCAGTGTGTTTTTCTGATTATAAAAACCATCCATACCATTCCATTATAAATTCACTACCATTCATATAATGGAATGTGCCAAAGCTCGGAGCTCGTTGCAGCTGCCCCCGGTCCATGTTTAAGATCAAACAAAGTGGTTCAGGTATTTTGAGCACCTTTTCAACAACACACCCAATTAAGCTTCATTTAAAGTGATCTTTTATTGTTTATGTTTTCTTCTTTTCTTTTGTGACCTACTAAGCATCCATCTGATGTCAGTGTTGGTTTTGTTTTGTGTGGCCAGCCCAAGAATTCTTATTGAATCAAGACACGGTGATTATAAGATCATAGCAAGGAGGTCCTGGGAGCAGCAGGCAACTGTAACACTGCAGTTGCACGAATCCATGCGTGGGCAAAACACAAAATGCATCAACCACTCACCTTCACAAGACATTTTCTGAAACCTGCACCTTCTAACTGTGAATTAATTCTGAGTCATCATGACACACAAATCAGCCATCATGGTAGACACTAATGTGTGAGATGCAGGGATGTATGACTATGGCACTAATCACTTACTAGGGGAACCTGTGAGATTATGTGCATGCGTAACACACTGCTGCTGTATGCATCTTCCTGCACAGCTTAGTCTTCTGAATTGTTATGCATTATCAAAGAGAGCCAAAATGTGCACTAAAGCTTATCTAGTGTTATTTCTGTCACTGAAATGTTGATATGGTTGGGGCTTTTGTTTGTATGTTTACTTCTACATTTTCCTTTGTTATTAATCATGCAAATAACTTGAATTCTGTGAAGAGTAAGAGTTCAGTGAACAGCCATGTATGTCGTAGATCATTATATTCTTCCAGTTTCACAAGGACATATCCTTCTGTGTCAAGTTTTGCACTCTGTAGTAGCCAGTGAGAGCCTCTGGCACTGGCAGTTTTTCTGGAGAGGTATTTTGAACCTCTTTGCAAATTAGGCGATGCTGTAATGTCTGAGGAAATGCATGAAGTCTCTTGATGATGACAGCTGAGAGTTTTTGTGGAGAATTTTTGTGTCCAACAGCACTCCTTCTTTCACCTCTGTCTAGCTGCGAGCTCAGTGGTGTTCTACATGCATGTAGTTTCACAAAAAGTGATGAAGAGTCACTGGAAGACTCTTTGATGAAAAGCAGTCCTTGACTGTTCTAGTTTAGGAAAACTGTTCACAAGCTGACATTTCACATGACAATCATTTAAATTTTGCAGCTATTGCATCAGGTAAGTACATCTTCACAGGTATTTGGCAGTTTCTTTTATTACTCTGAGGGGAAAAAGAAACAAACCTTAAATGAAATATACCCCCAAAGATGATGCAGGTCATGGTAGGATTGCATGTTTTTTCTAAATTGAAGAGACTCAAAAAGAAGGGCTTGTTTCATAGCAGAAGGGGTAAGAAAAAGATTGAGAATAGGGATTTTTTAGTAAAGCAGAGGGCATTATACCTGTTTGATTTATGAGCAAAGCTGTATTTTATGTAGGCACCAGAAGGATCTATTTGCAGCATTTTCAAATTCAACTGTTGTGTTATTAAGTTTTAAATGAGTGGATCTCTCACTGCTAGCTAAGTGTCTTAACAAATCTGGGCCCTGACATACAACAGACAGGAGATCTTGGAAGTTGTATTAAATACCTCCCACCAATAATCCTGCCAGAAATAGGTAGCTGATGCAACAGCGGGGAAAAGTAGATTACTTACCTGCCACAGCATAGTCAACTGCTGTGATGCTTTGTCTCTTCAGCAGGGTCTTGTGGTTAAGATAAGGGAGTCTTGGTCCTCAGTCTATGTGGTCAGCTGTATTCAGCTGTACCAAAGTGATATAAATCACTTGTCACAAAGTGATAAGTGTCTATTAGATGTATCACCTATATTTATAGACAGAATTCGTTAACTGCAGCTTTGGCTGAGTTTCTACCACTCCCCTCTATGCATGGAGGCAGAAATGCAAAACACTTTTTAAACTAAAGCAAGTCATTCCTTGGTCCCCTGTCCCACCCCACCCTCCTCATCCCCTATGGAAAGCATGTTGAACTGAGTTTATAACAGTATTTCCAACTGGACACTTTTTTCGTCCTTTATGGCTGTTATTAGAAAAAAATTTATTTCCCTTTCAATCTGAGCATGGACTACTTCATGGAAAGCAAACCAGATGCAGGATTTAGTGCATGGCAATGAACGGTTGGTGCTTCCAAGAGCACTTACTTGTCCTTGCAGATAATACTTATGATTTGCAATGTAAGCATTGGAGGAAAGTGCCAGTGTTTCTAATGAATTTGAAAACTTGATGGGTGCAAGAAGTGCAGGACCCTTCCAAATCCTTGGGGATGCCTGAGCGCTATTTACAAGTGTTTAAACATCTAATTTTGTTTCTTAAGTTAGTTTCCCTACATATGCCCTATATAGTAAACAGAGTAAAATCATTCTTCTGGTAGTATTTCAGAGCACCCTTTTCTCTCCCTTAACTGTAAAACCAATATAGAAAAGTTACCCTCAGTCAAATCTCAATGAAGGCTGTAAAAAAACCTGAAAGGAAAAGGTAGAAACACGGCCGAAAAAATGTTATGACACCATCAAAACACAATCTCAGTTGCAAAAAGACTTAGTGCTCTAGCATGTCGTGGCTCCAGCAAGTCATTTCTGGCTTTTAAAAGATCTTCTCTGGATGAGACACAGGACAGCATATTAACCTTTTGTTTTGGATGGATTTAGTACTTCGTTAAGAGACACAGTAATGTTTTCTTTTGAAAAAAAAAAAAGCCTTTAATTAGAGTTTATCACATGTGGAGTTCATACTTTTATTAAAGAGTTATTTATGAAAAAAATCTATTGCTGTTCCTAACCATTGTTACTGTACAGTTGTTACCTGGGGTTTATTTAAGATTTGACAGAAAGAAACCTTTCAAACATCCTTTTGTTGTGTAGTTCTTGAGCAAAAATAAACAACAACAAAAAACAGTTATAGGAATTATTTTTTATGAAAAAGCATACATAGGTAGAATCTATACTGAAAGGTATTTCCCAAACAAAAATATTCCCACGTAGCCAAAATAATGCATTTTGCAATCCCTTTGCTTTAAACCATACCTTATACACTTGCATTGCCTTTCTCGGTGCTAATGATAACCAAAATATGTGGAGTGTGTTTTGAACTTTGCAACTCTTCTTATATGTTTGTGTTATAGGCAGAAGAGCCAACAGATCCACCAAAATCCATTTGGGTGCAAAAGGGATGGTGATTAGCCAGCCTGCAGGCATGAGAGAAACCCCCTGACTTGTCCTGTAGGCTCTCAGATGGTGCTGGTGGTGCCAGCAAAGGCAGCAAGATGGGAAGCAGTGGTAGGAGGAGAGGTGGAGCTGTGAACCAGAGCCCTTGCTTTCCTAATATCTTTTTAATTAGAGTACATAAATATTGGCTGAGATAGTAGTTACATCTTAATGGAGAAATTAAGAAACAGATTAATTTCTGGCACGATTCCCTCTTCCTGTTTACGTTGGTCCCTATTTCCAGCACTAGTTTAATTGAAGGAACAATTCTCTGTATTTGCTTATTATCTGCCAGACTTGTAAGGGAATAACTATACATTTGGGAAAACATAAGAGTGTTTAAGGGGCACCACCAGAAATGAAGACGTACTTTAAAAAACAGCACAACTGGCCAATGTTATCATCCAGGGTATTAGGAACAGAGCACTTAGAAGGAAATTTGCTATTCTCACTGTATCATGTAAGTGAAAGGCTGTGAAGATGGTGCTTTCCATCTAACCTTGAGTATTTAGGAATTTAACAGAACCCCAAATGACACAGTGGGATAGGAATTGCTTCAAGGCCTGTTGAATTTAACAGGAGTGTTTGCATCACATCGAAGACATGCGAGGTGATGCCTGGGCTGACTTCACTTTTACACTGATCCATACCTACATGCACAAGCCATTGTCCATACTGGAGGACACTGATGACATTGGAAATGATGTCTGCATTGTGTGCCTTTGGAGTTTAGATGACACTTTAAAATCTCTTGTTGATGTACTGGCTGTTGTCAAGTAAAAGCTCGTGGGCTTTTAAAAAATTTGGGATAAAAGCCTTTATAATTTCCTTTGGTAAAATACAAATATGCTTTTAATTTTCAGGATTTACGTGCTGGGAACCTGCATTGCTTCCATAGTATTTTGCAGCTTTGCTCTTGCATGATGTGTGGATATACTTTTGTTTTGACATGCACAAATATTTTGATTTTACTGGGAAATTTAAATACATTCTTAAAATGTGGTCCATCTCTTTAAAGCAAACAGAGAAACTGCCTGAAAAAATCCATTATTTTGTGAACCTCTACATCATAAAAGTCTAATTAAAGTCAATTAAAGTTTAATTTTATTAATATTAAACCATTTACAGAATTAGTTGCATAATAAAAAAATTATTCTACAATACATCAGGAAAGCTCTGTCAAATACATTATCTCTGACTCTTTATGTGAATATATACTTTAATTGCATTGGGAATTTAAAAATGAAAAATATAAATGAGATTTTTTTTTTTGTACTTTGCAATTTAAATTAGTCCATTCTTTATGACACTGTGTTTTCACCTCTATTAATTTCTTTGCTTCTCGAAGAAAAATTATACACTAGATGCCTCGTTTAGCATGGGAGAGAAAAGTCACACCAGTTTTACTAGTAAGATGAAAATCTGTCACAAAATCCATATAGAAAATAGAAACATATTTTGTTTAAGTTGTAACTAAAATTTTTCACCAGGATGAGAACACACTGAACTCTGTATTAAAAAATGGTAATTAGGAAGAATGGAGCTGGAAAGGTTGTAATGTTGTGTTACATATTTGATCAGGTCCTGTTCCTACTACAGTCACTCTGATTAGATTTATGCTATGTGTTTGTAATGGCTTTTGAAAAACCATAACACCTATTTCTGCAGACCTGTACACATGAGGAAATTCCCTCATGTGAGCAATCAATTAAAT